TTTGTAGATTTTCTTTCTTATATATATAAAAGCTACAGTGATGCACCCACTTTAGGTAGATTTTTCTTTCTTCTTCTCCATTTTCACACGCTACTGCCTGACTCTTTTTTCTCTTTGAGTTCCATTGGTTCCTTTCTTTTCTCCATGTATGTATATTATTTCTGTTTCTATTATATTTGGGATATCTGTATTTTGTGCTTCAATCATTGTGCTTATATTGTATTTGTTCTCTTTGTTTGCTCGATCGTTGACGCATGTTCTTTTGGCCTTATTTTAGTTTGCAGGTAGTGGTGGAGAATGTTTTCAACTTTTCTTTAGTTCGTGGTAGCAGTAATATCTAGAGATTTTTCCTACGATGATTTATGAGGGGGAAATCTACTTTCATATGATTTGATTTTTCATTTTTCTTGTATAGTGTTGAACTTCGATGTTGATGTTGATTTGTTGTACACAAACTCTGGAGTAAACTGGTAAATAAAAGAGTAAATAGAATTGGGCGTGGAAATAACAGAATAGAAATACATGAAAATAAAACATTTTCCGTATATACAAATTCATTTAGAAGAAAGTAAAGAAGTCTCATAGACGTATCAAACTTCCACCAACATAGTCTTTTTTGTAGACGATGAACGTTGGGGGCTCACTGTTCAAAAGTTCAAAAACACATCTATCGCCCATTTGTAGTTCTTTTTCTCTAAAAAATCTGCCCAACCTATAGTCATACGTCTTATTAGACCATTTGGTCCAAATTTGTGACGAGCTCCCAGTCGTGATATAAAGAATCATGAATTTGAACACTTTACAGACCTCTTGGTAGGTGATATCTAGAGAACTGTTCTGGTATACCCTAGAAAACCATGAATGAATAAATTATTGATCTTTGAATCAAATTTATGTGGAAGAGATGAATGTAGAATGAGATAGTAAAGATGACACCTACAATTTCCCGATGGCTGTTGTGATAAGGTGTTAGTGTTATTTCAAATGCAGGGTTATCTGTTTGTGAAGCGTTGTATTAGATATTAAAGATGACACTTACAATTTCCCGATGGCTGTTGTGATGAGGTGTTAGTGTTATTTCAAATGCAGGGTTATCTGTATGTGAAGCGTTGTATTCTTCGGGAACATCGGAGTCATATGTGACCTCTAAGCCAGAATGGTCAAATATGGTCACATTGAATGTGGAGTTTCCGTTATATTCAAATACCAAAACATGAGCATCCTGTAAGTTATGATGGTCAAAAAATTGTTCACATCCATCGGCAAAATATATTCTTCCATTATCTCTTTCCAATCGTATTGTGATAATTATACCATCATATGCAATTACTCGTACTGTGTCACCAAGTTGGTGTCTCCAATTGTTGACAAAGGATCTGGGAAGCATCTATACGTATACATTAAAAAGTATAAGAGAGATATTAAGAATGCATCTATTCAAATGTAAGAGGAAAAACTATTGTGTGACTAACCAGACGAGTATTATGGTTTTGTGGAGGAGTAATGATTCTGAAGAAACGATGTGGCACCTCCATTCTGTCTCAATATAGTACAATGAAAATTTTGTTAGAATAACTTTATTATTTACGTTGTGGAGGCCCTAATATAGATTTTAAAGTAGATTTTGCAGTATAGGCGAGTTAGAAAGTTTGTTAATTGAAGTTCCATGTCTATAAGATAAACTTTGTATGTGATTTAAAAAAAATATGTCGTTATAGAACAATATCATGAAGTTTGGTAAGATATTCATGATTTGTGTTCAATTTTTAATAAAAGAATTGAAGATTGACATTTAGCCCATCTCAATAACCAAGATGTAAGTTAAAATTACAAAATTTAGTGTTGAAAAAATAGTTATGGCAATTAGGAAATAGTAGATATACACCTAATTTTCTTTTTGTTGAGCACCTGCAAATAAAGATATGTAAATATTTTATGCGAGGAGTGACTTAAGGTAAATTTTGAAAACATAAGAAGCTATTTAAATTAGAGGATATGTACTTCCTCTATTTTTTTCTTTTCTCCAGATTTGACAAAAGGTTCACGGGTTGTAGAAATGGACAATATGTTACCAAAAAAGCCTGATCTTACTCTTCCCAAAAATAAAAGTGAGGAGAAAAAAATTATTGAAGTATCACGTGAGTAACTATTTTATCTTAACATGTTTCACACATTATTTGATTATAATCGAAAGGTTACGATTGGAAATGTAATTAATATGTAATATGTCTATTATTTATCTACATTTCTATTCATTTGAAGGATTTATATAATATTTGTATATATAAAAAAATGATTTATATTTTATGTATTTATTTTAGGAATTACATCTATTAAAAAAATTAAGTTGATTCAATGAAATTAAATTTTGATGCTGAGAGTCGATAAAGGAAAAAGAAAGGGGAAAAAAATGAAATTTGTTAGCCTCCGTAATTACTACAGAGGCAGTTTGTGCCTCCGTAGTGCTATGGAGGCTCAACTTTAATTACGGAGGCACTTTGATGCCTCAGTAATTACGAAGGCCTTGCCCTTTGACCCTCCGTAATTATAGAGGCATTATTTTTTTCCCTCTTTTTTCTTAGCTGTTATTACAACAAATAGTTCAATATTATTTCTTTTGTTTTGTCGAACATAATTTTATAATTTTATATGAAGTTATATTTTAATTTAAACATGAGTTTCTTATTTTGTATGAAATTTAACTAATAGTCGGACTTTCTTAACGTTATTTTTAAAATTTTGCAATTTCTATTTATGTGATGATAAAAATGTATAATATATAATATAGAAATAGAAAAATGAATGAGTATATTTAGTTCTTTTTTTTCTTCTTCCAACTATAGTACTTAAGTGAGTATAATTTATTTATTTCCCTGTCTATGTCATTTTTATTTTACCTTTTGAACGAAAACGTCATTGTTTTCCTTTCGTTCGTGCAAGCACCTTGTCTTTGTCCTCATTTTAATCATTGTCCTTATTTCATCGTATCTTTCTCATTCTTCCCATCCTTTTGTTTTCTCCCTGTCTTCAATTGTGTGTATATTTTGTTCAGCGATATTTTGTTCAACGATAGACCTGTTGTTGTTGGTGAGTTTTTTTTTGATATATTTCCTATTGATCGGGTCATGGAAGTGTATACATTTTTTGGCTTCTTTTATATGAGGATATTGTTTTCAATGTGCATACTTTTAGTTATGTTTTCAATTTTATTGAGTTGATTTTTGTGGTTTCTTTCTTTCAGCAATACAATGAGTAAGCAATATTGGACACCTACATCTGCACAACTTCAAGTTCTTGAATCTATATTTAATCAAGAGAATAAAATCTCAAACAAGTCAAGGGTCATGCAGATAGTCTCTGAACTATCATTGCATGGGCAAATCTATTATATGAATGTTTATAATTGGTTTAAAAGTAGACGTGCTCATTTAAGAAGGCTGGATTTATTCTCACAAGCACACGATTCTGAACTTGTAATTCAGTCAAGGGTACAAAAAGACAAATTGCATAAGAGACATATAGGTATGATTTGTTGTTTAAATGTGATTTCTTGTTGGTATAATTTTTTTTTACGTAATTTTAACATAAATATTTGGTATTATAGAAGTATCTATAAGTTCTACACATATACCAGGAAGAAGGATGAAATGTTGTCCTAAATTCACAGCACGTTTCGTAGATTGAATATATTTTTTTATAATTTTTTTTGGCATCCGGTTATTTATTTGGTCATGTTGTAGTACACTTCCTTTCATCTTGTTTTTCTGAAATTATTTTTTAATCCAATTTTTGCACTTCTGTTGTCTTTCAGCGATCTTATACTAATTTTATGATTGTAGATTCTATTAATCAGTATGTTGAATTACAGAAGGATCTTCATGTTGATGAAAACATTGGCGTGAAAAAGCAATTTGAAGATGATAATATGCAATCTCAATGTGGTTCACATGTTCCTATCATTTTAGATCGTTCTAAGAGAATTGATATACGAAATATTCCAGTTGAACCTTATATTCTTCCGTCTTGTACAATTTGTAATCATTGTGGTGCAAAAAAAAAAATTTACAAAGAAAGTAAGGGTTTTTGTTATTGTGATGGAAAAGTTAAATTATAGCTGAACAGCGTTCCCCCTGAATTGTATGAGTTATTTACTTCAACTTTATGTGAAGCGATTGCTTTTAAAAAAGTTGCTCGTACTTACAACAACCATTTTGCATTCACTTCATTTGGTGTTAAATATGATAAAAATTTGTGCAAAAATAATAGAGGTGTATATACGTTCAAAATTCAGGGACAGGAATACCATTTTATAAATCCACTTCTACAAATTGATGGAAATCCTACATATTTACAGTTATACTTTTACGATACTTATAATGAAATTAGTAATAGACTACAAATTTCAGATAAGTTAAGTGAATCAACTTTGAAAAAGTTAATAAATATCTTAAAGATAAATCTATATTGTCGTTTCTTTCAATCATTAAGTGAAGTTTCTGATTTTGATTCTTGCTGTATTGTACTGAGGTCTGATACAGGTCTCGACCAGAGAGTATATAACATGTCATCATGTGAACAGGTGACTGCAGTGTGGGTTGATGATGATCCATCTGCAAGCATAAAGACTCATGATATATTAATTTATGGGCATTCTAATACTGCGCATAGCGTAAATTACTATTATGGCTGTTATGATCCACTTCAATATCCATTAATATTTACCTATGGAGAATCTGGATGGCATGAAGGTATCGAAAAGGTAAATTTGAATACTTCAATAGTCCATGAAGATTTCATACAAATCAATCACATTGATTCGGCCGAACAACTTATAGAGATGGAAGATCGTGGTAAGTTTTATTACCATTGAAGTTTTTTAATCTTTTTAGAGTGCATAAATGTATTTTCATTTCTAGATCTATCTTTGTGACTTTAATTTTTTTTCCTTTCAACTATGAAGAGAGGTAAGAAACGAATTACCATGTCATGCCGTGAATATTATTACTACAAACTTTAAATCAAACTTTCAGATAAGTCTGTACTCCTTTATACAGGCAGACTTCTACAACAATATATAGTGGATATGTATGTTAAGATTGAAACTGCGAGATTAGATTATTTTCGTAATAATCAAAAGACTATACGAGGTGAACTTTACCAAAAAAATTTAGATAGTATACAAAATGGTGAGAATAGAGGCTATAAAATTGGCAAATCAATTATGTTGCCTACAGGGTTTATTGGGGGTCCTAGAAATTTAACTAAAAGATATATGGATGCAATGTGTTTAGTTCAAAGTTATGGAAAATCTGATGTATTTTTGACAATGACATGCAATCCAAATTGGCCTTAAACAAGAATTGAAGCACAATGATAGTATACAAAATAGGCTAGATTTGTTAGCTCGAATATTTCGAGCAAAACTTGAAGAACTAAAAACAGATTTAATAAAGAAAGAAATTCTAGGACCTATAGCTGCCTATGTGTATGCAATTAAATTCCAAAAAAGATGTCTACCTCATGTTCATTTTCTCCTAATATTTAAAACGAATTTTAAGATTACTAATTCTACGCAAGTTGACAAAATTATTTCTTGTGAAATACGAGATCCAAAGAGAAATTCTCACCTGCATGTTACTGTGGTCAAACATATGATGCATGATCCTTGTGGACAATTAAATTCTACAAATGTGTGCATGGAAAATAACCATACTTGTAAAAATAAGTATCCAAGAGAATACATTTTGCATATTTCATTAGGTAGTGATTCATAACCATTTTATAGGCGTCGTGACGATGGTGTTACTGTTAAGGTCAGAGGGTCTGTACTAGACAATAGATGGATTGTACCATATAATCCTTATATTTTATTTAAGTATGATTGTTACATTAATGTTGAAATATGTTCTTCTGTTAAATCAGTCAAATATTTATACAAAGGATATGATCGTGTTAATTTTACGGTGAATAAAGAAACTAATGAGCATTATGTTGATGGGATTTCGAATTATCAAACCGCTAGATGGATATCTGCACCGGAAGCTATATGGAGAATTTTTTGTTTTGATTTATTCGACATATCTCCTTTTATAATTTCTTTGCAGTTACATATTGAAGATACTCAGTTGGTTACATATAATGAAACATATGATTTATCAGAAGTTATAAATAATGACTTCATTCAATGAACAATGTAAACTGAATTTTTTAGAATGAATATTTCAAATGAAAAGACACAAATTTTACTTTATAAGGATTTTCCTACATACTTTGCATGGAATATATATTTTCGAGTTTGGAGTCCGAGAAAAAAAGCAAAATGTTATTGGTAAAATAGTTTCTACTAATCCATCTGAGGGCGAGAGATACTTTCTAAGAGTTTTATTGAATCATGTTAAAGGGCCTAAGTCTTTTCAAGATTTAAGAACAGTTAATAACATTGTTGTGCTTACTTATCGCGAAACTGCATTTTTACATGATCTAATAGGTGGGAATAATTATTGTGAAATGTGTTTAAATGAGGCGATCACCTATGAAATGCATATATCATTGCGTCGCCTCTTTGCTAATGTGTTAATTTTTTGTAGCCCTACAAATCCTAGAAATTTATGGGTTAAATTTAAAGTGTACATGATAGAAGATTTTTTACATGCAAGCATGACAGTATGTGATGCCGAGATTAGGGTTTTGAGATGCATAAATTCATTCTTGGAAGTTTTTGGTACAAACATAAATGATTTTGGTTTGGTAGATTTTGACGTAATTGTGAGTGATACTGATGTGTTAGTAAACATGATTTTAAAAGAGACTACAAATATTAATAATCAGTGTGACATGCATTTTACAGAGAATTTAAATAAGGAACAACAATCTATCTATGATGCTATTTTAGATTGTATTGTAAATAATAAAAATGGAATTTTTTTATTGATGGTCCAGGAGGTAGTGGAAAAACTTTTCTGTACAAGGCATTACTTGCTGCAGTACGATCTCGACAACTTATTGCATTAGCAACAGCGTCATCGGGAGTGGTCGCTTCTTCATTGCCGGCTGGGCGAACTGGTCATTCACGTTTTAAAATCTCACTTCAAGCAAGTTCTGATATGCGATGTTCAGTAAGTAAACAATCATCACTTGATCAACTTTTACAAATGACAAAGCTAATTATGTGGGATGAAGCACCGATGATTAATAGATGTGCTTTTGAAGTTTTGGATAAAATGTTAAAAGATATTATTGAATGTGAATTGCTATTTGGGGTAAAGGTTGTTGTGTTCGGAGGAGATTTTCGACAAGTGTTGCCAGTAGTACAAAGAGGAACAAAAGATGACATCATGAAGGCCAGTTTAGTTTTTTCAAATTTATGACAATATTTTATACAACTACCATTGACTGAGAATATGAGAGCTAAATTAGATCCTTTGTTCTGTGAATATTTATTTAGAATTGAAAATGGAATAGAAAGAGAACATACATATCACATGATTAAACTTCCTTCAGATATAATAATAGATTTTGAGAGTAAATTTGAATCATTGAAAAAACTAATTGCTATTGTATTTCCTAATTTTCACACATATGGTGACAATTTGAATACTATGATGAACAGAGTTATTTTGACTTCAAAAAATGAACATGTAGATGTAATAAATAATATGTTAGTTAAAGAAATTCCAGAAGAGATATTTACAAATTTTAGTTTTGATGAAGTAATTGATAAAACAGAATGATTTATTTATGAGAACTTTTTGAATAGTCTAACTCCAAATAGTATCCCTTCACATGAACTTGTACTAAAAAGAAACTGTCCTGTTATGTTGTTTAGAAACATTAATCCTTCAGAAGGTTTGTGTAATGAGACTAAACTTATTTGTCGAGAATTTAAACGAAATGTTATTTTAACCGAAATTGGAATAGGTGAATATCGTGGAAAATAAGTATTTTTACCTAGAATTTCATTTATTCCACTTGAAGGAGATAAGTATTCGGTACCATTTAAGAGAATTCAATTTTCCATTTGTCCTTGTTTTGCAATGACCATTAACAAAGTTCAAAGTCAAACTTTAGATTTCGTTGGACTATATTTGCCTGAACCTGTTTTCTTGCATGATCAATTATATGTCGCTTTATCTAAAGCAAGAATAAGAGAAAACATAAAAGTTCTAATAAAGTCAACGAATGAAATAATATTACACAATTGTTGCACAAAAAATGTTGTCTACCTTGAAATTTTGAATTTGATACATACTACTTAAGAAGTCTATAATTACAAGTTTTGCTTAATTGGACTGTCAATCTATTGTTAGCCTAAAAGAGGATATTTTCTCTGCTAATCCATCTTGTGCCAAGGAAAATAACATTGAGCTATACTAGGTTAGTTATTTTTACATGTTATTACGCGTTTCAATTATACTTTACTTGTTAGTACGAAACATGGTGCATATAAAAGGGTCAGGTCATTATCTTTAAACATGCCCTTCATAATATTTCATATTCAACATATCTTTATTTATTTGGGTCAGTGATAAGATACGAAAAGAAAGGATAAAAAACACAAGTTTATTATATAATATTTCAATCAGTATATTCTGATTATCTACTACAATTAGGACTATGGGGATGAAGAAAGTATTCGTTATTACAGATATCTACCGCAATCTTTAGTCTATATATGCTCATCCTATCCGACGAAATTGATTCAATTAGATATTTCAAAACAAAGCATTCTATATATTTGAGCACAAAAATTCCACAATTAGGCTTGTGGAAGAAATAGTTTAGTGTTAGAATAAATGGCTAAATTTAGAAAATTAAATATTCTGCTAAAAAAAAGCCACTTAAATGCTTACCCATTGGTTGCACAGTTTAGGTAAGTTATAATCTCCTGCTCCATTTATTTATTCCTATGTTTCCTTATATCTCCTCTAGAAGATAAAGTTGTTTTCAATAGTACTTCTACCACAGTCAATGAAGCTTTTGAATGTGCTTTTACTTAATCCGGTGTGTGGACGTTATTACTGCAATCATATATTTGGAATTTCTATTCAAGAATATTGACAACGAAAAGGTACTAGCTATTGCCCGAATATGAGCACGAAATTAATATATACTTGCATCTCATCCAAGGATGACCAAATATAGGTGCTTTTCCATTCACATAACTTTGCATAAGAGTTCCGTCTGGTTTACCTCTGGTGGGTCCCATTCCTGTGTCAGTATGCCATATCATTTGACGAGCACATTCTGCTTCAAATTTAAAATCCATAATTGCATATTCTTTTGAAACAAGCGAACAACCATCATTCATGAGCCGCCTCAATAGTTTTAACTCTAGCTCAATGTTCTGATAAAATAAATAGATATAGATTAGATTATATATATCGACTATAAAATAAAATCTATTGTAATTCATAGACTTTACTTACAGCAATATTTATGTCCTGTGTTTGATCTATTAGAGTTTTCAACATGTCTCTTCCAAAGACATTGTTACTGTCATCATCCAAGTATGTACTGTATAACAAAATTTTAATTAATTCCAAATAAATCAAAAGAGAACTTGAAGATTTGAGCTAATACAAGTAAAATTAGATTTATTATCCAGATTGATTCTCCGCTATAAAATTTCTAGTTTTTATGTATCTTTGCATAGGATAGTCTTCTAGAGGACGATCTGAAGATGATGAAGACTGTATTTGTTTCCCCTTGTTTTTCTTCTCTTTTATCGATCTTTTAGAACTCTCAATTTGTTCAACTGTTGATATCTCATTTGGTTTATCGCAAGGAACAACACTTGTATCGAGAGGAACATCTTGTTGTATGGAACCTATGATGGCTTCCATATTTGATTTTCATTCAGCTAATGTGTTCAGTGTTTCCTGATTTTGGTCATCAACATAAGATCTCATTGAACTTAAACTGGTATCAATATAAGATTGCATACCCTGATATCCATCTTCTTGCCACTTCTATTGCTGTTCGAAAAATTGTCTTTGGTTGACAAGAATTATTTGATAATGATGTTGCATGTAATCTTTATGCCATTTTTTTTGCTCTTCAAATAACTATTTTTGGTTTTCAAAAACCGCATGGTGGTGAGCTCTTGATTTATCAACAATCTGCCTTCAAGTTGCTATATACACCAGACACGTCTAATGTTATGTGTTGCCTATAGATACCAAACAATTCTTTCATTTTATCTTCACTTAAGGAGTTGGAGCCACTGAGAATAGAGCTAGACCCAAATACAGGTGAAGATGTAGAAGTACCGGGAATCGTTGTTTCTTGCACATATATATTGTCTGGGATTTGTTCTACTACATTATCCAATACTCCATTTACAATCCTATCTAATCTGCTGTGTCCATTATCCACTGGCAATGAAAGAGTTCCGTACCAAAGACTTTGTAATTCTTCTGCATTAGGCTGTAGCACAGCAATCACTTAAATCTGTAATCAAATTGAAATATCAAAATCGTTTATTTTGAGTTTAATTTTATTTTAAGATAATTGAATGTGAGAGTAATTGTACATTCATAAAAACATACATTACGAGTAGACAAAAAAGGCTTTATCTCCTTTTCAGTTACAAATTGGTTGGGTTTCCACTTGTATATTCTTGGAAACTATGGTTTTTTATGTCTACGATGTCCAAATTTCTTTCCGATCTTTGGAAATGCTTCATATACCCAATACCGCAAAATAATTAAAAATAAATATTATATGTATAAAAAAATTTTATGGGAATATATTGTACATAATAAGTCAATACAAGAATAGGGACTAATTACCTATAATGCAAGTGGATACCCATGAAACGCATACTTGCATTCTGTTTGTTCATTCCGTTGCATCCTTTGTATTCTTTCAGATTGTGATGCTTTCAATGAATATAACAAGATCAAATATGTTTTGCGAACCCATGGATATGCAAGGAACTCATCTAGATGTTCAACTATACCAAGAGTTCTATAATCAATTTGTCTTAAAGTGGGTGTCAACACACATTCGACCAACATGACTAAACCAAACTTCAATTTATCTTCTTCATGTTTGCACGCATGGAATGCTTCATAAAGCATCTTCATACTGATTCGACATGTACCATTAAAGTATTGATTTCTAAGACGATCATTTGTATCATTAATGTCCATCGATGATTCATGACAAGGTAATTCAGTAATAAGATCAAATTCTTGCATACCAAATCTGGCTACATGATCGTCTAACCTTACCCAAATTTCATCATTTTTCCCATAATTCACAAGCCTCAATATAAATTCATGCACCAACCTACTACTAAATTGTACATTTTTCCTTTGTAAAAAACTCCATAAAGAAATCCATAAAAATTACTACACATCAACAAAAATTGCTCATTCGAATCTAAAAATTGTACAAAGTCTTTAAGATATTTGAAATTTGGATACTGGACAATTGTAGCCGAAAACCATTGATCCGGAGAAATTATGTATTCTAGAGACATCTACATAAATTATTCCAAAAATCACATCTTATTTATGAATGAATCTAAAAATTAAAAATAGAGAAACATTTTTTAAGAGTTCCAAATAAACATTATATTTTCATAACCTATATATGCATAAATATTTTAAAATCGATAATAAAATATCTTATATTCGTGTCTAGACAATTCAGACAATTCATGACATGAAATTATGCCTCGCCTTAGCCTTGCCTCCGTGATTATGGAGACTTGACCTCCATAATCACGAAGGCCTTAAGAGATTCTCCTGTTTAAATTTGTGGGGAATTTCTCTTGAAAATGTAGAGATTTCTGGGACTAAAAGTATAATAAATGAGCATAAACCAACCACAAGATAAAAGGCTGTCACATATGAGTTGTATATTATTGTTGTTTTATGCATTTGGTCAACAATCAATGAAGTATTTTTGTTGTGTTATGAAATACAAAGTATTCACACCTTTTATAGAATCTCAAATCTACGTCTTTGTTTGAATTCTTTAATTTCATACACAAAATCATAAATCAACATATTCACGTGTATTTAGATATTTATTACAATTCAATTTATTTAATCTCAATAAATAATTGAATCAAATTTTCCTTTCATTACAATGAAGGTTTGTAGTATGAATACTTTTTTCCCCCAATGAATACAATTTAATTTAATTCAGAAACATTCTTGTACCATGTTTAAACTTTTGCTAGCCCATGTCTATGTTCAATCATTATGAATCAATAGAGTATGAGTATGATAAGATTTTACCGTGTAAATCTTGATCTTTTTCCTTTTTAATCCAAATTTTGACGTCCTTTTATTATATTTATAATAGGGAAAACGAATAAAATATAGTTTTACATATTTTGCTCTAAGTGTAAATCCTTGAACTCACGTTATTTATGTACTATCAATAAATTAATATTACAAGTAATCTCCATATCACATGCAGACAACAAGTTTGACAGTATATGGCTAATAATAATATTTTACTTAGTACATACTTGTATTACTTTTTATAAAAAAAATAAAATTAAGAATAGAAGATAAATTACGGGAAATCAAATATGATATAATTTTACATGTCTATATATATATCTTCTTTTATTTGTCAATTGGATATCTCAAAATCGTTTGCCATAGAAATCTTCCTTTTATGTGTATTTTGCCTCTGTTATTCTGTTACGAAATTGCCACGATGGAAGAAAAATACCAACTTCTACCAGAAATTATTCCAACAATCAAAA